CTGTCTCCTCGTTGCGTGAGCAGCTTATTCGGGAGCTACATACCGGAGGTCTCGCCGGGCATTTGGGTCGTGATAAGACGATAGCCAGCTTGGAAGAATGTTTTTATTGGCCCCATCTTCGTCGTGACGCAGGTGCAATATTGCGTCAGTGCAATGTGTGTCAAGTATCCAAAGGCCAATCTCAAAACACTGGTCTTTATACGCCTTTTCTCGTCCCAACTGATATTTGACTCGACCTTTCGATGGATTTTATCTTGGGGTTACCTCGTACTCAGCGCTGTGTGGATTCAATTTTTTTGGTGGTTGACCGATTCTCCAAAATGTCCCACTTCATTGCCTGCAAGAAGACCGCTGATGCCTCCAACATCGCCAAACTATTCTTTAAGGAGGTTGTTCGCTTACATGGGTTCCTAAATCCATCACTTCTGATCGTGACACTAAGTTCCTCAGTCATTTCTGGCTTACTCTTTGGCGCTTGTTTGGTACTGCGTTGAACAGGAGCTCTACGGCCCACCCCCAAATGGATGGATAGACAGAGGTCACAAACAGGACATTGGGAAACATAATTTGGAGCGTTTGCGGGGATAAGCCATGCCAATGGGATCTCTACTTACCGCAGGTTGAATTCGCCTACAACAGCGTGGTACATTCCTCCACTGGCCGGTCTCCCTTTTCTCTTGTTTATACTTCCCCACCTCGACATGTGGTTGATTTGGTGGAGCTTTCGAAGGCTTCTGGTGTGAGTAGGGCCGCTAGTGACATGGGAAATGATATGCAAGCAGTCAAGGAAGTGGTTCATGCTAGACTTATCGCCACCGGCGCTAAGAACAAGGCTGCCGCAGACGCCCACCGTCGTGCTAAGGTTTTCGCTGAAAGGGATGAGTTGATGGTCTTCTTACAAAAGGAGAGGTTTCCCGTTGGAACTTACTCTAAATTGCAGTCTCGTAAGTATGGGCCATTTAAGGTGTTGAAGAAAATTAACAACAATGCTTATATTATTGACTTGCCGGTTGATATGAACATCTCCTCCACCTTTAACGTGGCGAACATCCATGCGTACCATGCAGACGAATCACTTTATCCGACTGCTACGAACTTGGGGTCGAGTTCTTTACAGGTGGGAGAGACCGATGCAGGGCAGCTTGAAGCCCAGTTGGAGGGAGCAACATTGTTCGAGAAAGGAGTCATTGTCGTTAACGACAGTTAGCTGGACGCATGCATTACATGGACATTATTATTTGTTTTATTTTGTTCCTTTTAAGTTTGGATTGTCCTATAAGGACTCATTTAGCACAAGTAGTATTTAAATACCCTTTGTTATGTTAAAGCATTCTTTTTCGGCTTTAATCAATTAAACCTAAGGGTTTGTGTTTTCTGGTGGATTCAAGAGGTGTTATTCGTGAAGCTTGCACCTGGCAGGCTTGTTATTATTCTTGTGGATTTGACGCTAGCGAGTCCATTTGGTTTTCGACTGCGTCACTGCTTTTTGCCAAGGCGAGGTGTTTTTCTTCTGACTTGTGCCTAGGCGAGTGTCTAGGCGCGGTTTTTAGAACCATTGTATTTAACCAATACATGTGATATGAATATTAAGTTGTTTTTTGGTTAAATTAGTGATATAATACATGAATTACCATTTTATGGGTCCACCTATAAAAATGAGTGATTATCAATCTCTACCAAAAGGTGAGATTGTTAACAAGAGATTGTGTATCTAATTTTTATTTCATCTTTGTCTCTTACACCTTTTCTTAATTCTAATATTGCCCTCATCCAGTGGCGGAGACACTTGGAAAGCTGGGGGTGCTTGCAACCCCTTGCAGGCTTGCACTGGCAAAAAAAATTCACCCGCAGAAACACAATTACATATCGACTTCCTTCCCATTCTCGCTAGGTAAGTTTTGTGATACAAGTCACATTCTTTATTGTTTTTATTTGTAAAAAAATTGTCCTCAAATCTCAAATAAACAATTTCCATCCCACAATTAATTACAGTTTGATGAGGTCAATTGTCAATTTTTGTTATATATGAATTGCTTAAATCCATAGAATTCATTTGTTGTTTTCGACAAGAAGAAACTGATTCAGTTGATTACTTTCTACCCCTACCAGTTCCCTCCAAATCTTATGAAGTTTATTGGTTATCAAATAAATTCATATATATGTAATCTACCATTTGATGACAGGTTCTAGGGGTGTTCAAACGGTTTGGTTACCATGGTAACCATTTTAACCAGTAGTATTTGGCTAATTTGGTTTGGTTAATTTCGATAATTGGTTTGGTTTGGTTAAAAAATTTAGTTTGTTTGGTTTAGGTCGTCTGGTTTGATTTCAGACACTCCTAACCAATCAAACCAAATTAACCAGTTAAGTAATTTGTCATATATCTAATATATATTATATACACATACTTAATACTTTGCATAACCACTCAAGAGTCAAATGTAAGATAATTGTATTTGTTACATGTATTTACGTTAAGGGTTAACTATAATTATGTGGATTGTTATGTGTTGTTCATTATATAAATTGCAAATTGATGCACTAACTGAAAAATTTTCTCACTTAATGATAATGTGGTGTTATATTGGTTATTTTGGTTAACCAATTAACCAAACCGAATAAACTTCAGTTTGGTTAATTTGGTTGTTGTATTAGTTTGGACGGTTTGGTTATGATATTGTATTCCATGGTTAATAGATTTTAGACTTATTTGGTTTGGTTATTACCATGGTATCCATTTGAACACCCCTAACAGGTTCAATGACTTACAAGGGGTGAGTTAGCAAACAAAAAATGGTGGAAACAAATAACCACAAATTGTATAATCTCTTTATTTGCTTATCAAGTTGACACTTATTTTGCCTATGGCAACAACAAGTGTGGAGAGATAATTTTCTTCCATGAAATATATCAAGAACTATATTCGAAATCAGATGAACGATTAGTGGTTGAACAATTCATTTGTGACATGGATTGAACAAGATTTGTGTGTTAGTTTGGACAATAAATGTATTCTACAATACTTTTAGAATATGAAATCTCATTGCGGTTCCTTATAGGCGATGTGCATAGAACTATTATTATGTAAGTCTGCGAACTAGGATATTATGTTATTGACATTTTATTTCTTTTATAGTTGACTTTTTTATTATGTAGTTGACTTTTTCATTATGTAAAAAAGACATCCCCTTGGTCAATTTTCTGGCTCCGCCACTGCCCACATCTACAATTCATCTCTCATTAATAAATGAAAGGTAAATATGTCATTGATTATGAAAAATGTACTCCTTTTTATGTATAATAAAAACAAAATCTAAACATCCAAAACGTTTTTTGAAAATTCATACATTTAATCAATGCATCAAATCACAATACACGAATTGATTAGATACATCAATTAGGAGAACAATTCGAACCTCCAAAACACCCCAAAGATTTCATCATTAGTAATTTTAGTACATTATAGGGACAAAGTACTACAATTTATTTATATATGAAGAACAAAGTACTACAAGTTGAATCAACCAATTTATTCGGATCACAGTAGAGCGCATTTCAACTCATCAGAATTCAGAACCCAATGGCACGACCGACGCCTCATCATCCTTCGTCGTCGTCGCAACTCTGGATCCTGGTGGAAGTAACCGAATCCGTACATCCCAAGCACTGTCGTGACAAATCCAAAAGGAAATCCAATGCTCGTTGTCATCCACGAAAACCATAACCCTTCATCGCTCTTTGGTCCTCCTCTAGGCGCTGCCTCCTGTGTCGGAGTTATCGCCACATCATTGCACGGTTTGAGAATCTGCATCACGCACAATCTAGCGTCATTGTTAGCATAAGAATATGGATTGTTCATCCTTATAGGAGTTTTAGGAATAGTAGTGTGTATTATTATGAAACCACAAAGGGGTTTATATAGATTACAAGACTTGGACAATAAGTAAGAGAACCACAATACTAAAAGGACACGGTAATACTAAGAACTATACTATAAGGACAAGGAAATATAAGATTATTCCTAATCTATCTCTAACACGCCCCCGCAAGTTGATGGTGTGAAGAACAACATCAATCTTGACCAAAATACGCCAATCTTGATGAACACGCCCCCGCAATGTGATGGTGTATAATGTGTTGCAAAATCGTCGAACTCTCGTGCTTGAAGAGCGAAGCCAACTAACCGTCGTCTTGGAGAAGAAGAAATCATCAAACTTGCAATTCATACGTTGCAACGAAACTCACTCGTCGTCAAAAATTGATCGGAAACGAGATGAACAATAAGCAATTGGTTTTAACGATACCAATAAACGTAAACTGGTGTAGGACACGAGACATTCATCCGAATGACCGTTGTCGGAGAAGCTTTCTTCGTTCCATACACGTGAAGAAGAGATGGCTGGAGGATGACCGTGGCTCCGCCATATAATTCTGCAACAATCTGAAAATAATATAAGAACGATAACATCGGCTATAAAAACCGGATCTTCCTCTCCAATAACAATGCGTTAGTGGTCAATTGACAGAGCACAAAACAACTATCAGAATCTGCAACAAAAAACAATGATGATGATAGTGAATGAACGAATGCTTTTGGGAGAGTGGCAATTGGAAGCTAGAATTGTTACTACTTGGGACGTGGAGCTGGGAAGCAAGCAATTAGGGATAATGGCTAGGGGTGCAGGACAAGAAACAATTAGCATAGGTTTTTTTTTTATTGAGAAAGGAAAACCAAACTCATTAGGATTATAGCGACGGGAAAGAAAAAGCAAGATAAAGAACAAGACTGCGAAAGGGAGGAGGGAATTAACCGGGTGAGTGAGGACTCATCTCGGTGGTGAAGGAAAAAAAAGGTTTTAAGGTTCCGGGATCAAGGCTGTTAAGCTTGAGGCTCTGATACCATATAGGAGTTTTAGGAATAGTAGTGTGTATTATTATGAAACCACAAAGGGGTTTATATAGATTACAAAACTTGGACAATAAGTAAGAGAACCACAATACTAAAAGGACACGGTAATACTAAGAACTATACTATAAGGACAAGGAAATATAAGATTATCAAGGAAATATAAGATTATTCCTAATCTATCTCTAACAATCCTGTCCATTTGGGAACCGGTCGGGATCCGCCCGGAGAGATTGTTGTCGCTTAATTGCAGATTACTGATTTGCAGCAATGTCCCAATAGATTCCGGAATGTCTCCAGATAAGTTGTTGTGAGATAAATCCAAGCTCTCCAATTCCTTAATGTTTCCGAAACTAGTTGGGATTGGACCAAATAGGCTGTTGTGGGACAGATTGAGCACTTTGAGGCTTCTCAAGTTTCCCAAACTATTTGGGATTTCACCTGGCAATTGATTGTTGGATAGATCAAGAAGAGTGTATAATCCCAAGTGATTGTTGGGAAACCCCTCATTATGAGTCTTCCAGAAGACTTCAAACCATGGAGTTGGAATTGATGGCCCCGAGACCCAAGCGGAATCAATTGGGTTATTAATCTGAGCGAAATCCAAAATTGGTGAGTCAGGCTGAGCATGGATCATACCCCTCAAATTTCCTAAATGGTTGGGCACCCTGCCACTTAATTTGTTGCCGGAGAGGTCCAAAATTTGAAGGCTTCTGAGATTAGAAAGATTCGATGGAATCGGCTCTCGAAGAAAGTTGTTTCCCACACTCAAAATTTGTAAAGATGAGATTTGAGCCAAACAATATGGAATTTCACCCGATATTCTATTCTCACGAAGATCAAGAAGTTGGAGCTCCTCTAAATATTGTGGCAAATAAATATCAGAGAAACGGTTGTGAGCGACCTCAAGGACATTCAGTGAGTACGCTTTGCCAGAAGATATGGATATATTTCCATGAAAGATATTGAAGGAGAGATTAATATACTGTGGACAACTGTAAGAACGCTGGCAAAGAAAGACAAAAGCCTCACCTGAAAGTTGGTTTCTTGACAAGTCCAGATAAAACAAGTAACTCCTATTCGAGATGTGAGTACCAAGCGATCCTGTAAATATGTTATCTGAAAGAATCAACATGGAGTACCCACTTTGCTCGGTCTCGTTAGTTCCTGTGTTTAGAAATATTTCTCCCTCGAAATTGTTCTATGATAAATCGAGAGTTTGTATACCTCCATTGGACGCCAATTCAGGAGGCAGAGTACCTTGAAGCAAGTTATCCGCCAAAACCAATTATTATTTTTTACATCAGTTGTAATTTATTCAAATGTAGTATTTCATCAGGTATTCAAAAACGTATACTGAGTGCATTTATGAGTGTTTTTATCTTGGTGTTATGAATAGGTAGAAACTTAATTATTATAATGCATATAACTATACCTAGGCACATGGTCGAGCTAGCACGACACAGTTAGAGCATACCATGAAGACTATGTATATGGATCGACCATGTACAAGCATGAATGCTTCATGGGTCGTACCAGACTTAAACTTCAAGGGCTCTCGCACAAATGCGAGCACCATACAACCTATATTGGTGAACACATGTTTTATGGAGAAATGCTTCATTTGATAAAAAATAAAACAAAATATTCTAAAAATAATATATAAAATTTGAACTAATTAGTAGTTTCTCACATCAACGTGTGACATCTCATATTCTAAAAGGTTTATAAAATACATTCATTGTTTATTTTGAGATTCAAACCTTTTTCAATGTATACAACTAAAAATTCATTTATAAAATCATTCTTGATTAACTTCATCGCTGAAAAGTCTTTTTTACAACTTGCAGTAATAACAAACAACGTCAACAATAACTTTAGAAGCAAGTAATGTGAAAAGAAATTGCGATTTATAATTTCTTTGCAAGTGTGTGTGGGGGGGGGGGGGATTTTTTTTTTGTCTAAAAAATATGAGCAAGGGTTGAAACTTATATATAATTTCTTTGAATATTGACTATTGCATATTGAATTGGAGTATTGAACATTTTGGAAGCGATATATAATTCTTAAATTAGTATTAATCTTCAGTCTGGTTGACCAATAGCCTTAGACCTTTTGTAATCTGATATGGATCCAATAATCATAAGATGAGATTTAGTTTAATATGGCTTCAGTCCAAAATCATTTTTTATGTGTAATGAATTTATACGACAAATACATGTAAAGTGAAGATGAACCTGATAATGCATTTTGATTCTTTAGATAAATACAATGGTTTTAGGCTTTAAGCGATGAGCTAACTATACACTCACTCGATTGGTTTAACGAGTTCTGCTTTTTATCACTTTTAATTATTAGTTTATTCACAAGCTATCAAGCTACTTTGCTCCGTCGATGAATAAGCGACCATCATTCGCCAGGTTTCAGGTGCTCTGATTCACACTATTGATTGTGAATCGAGAAGAAGCATTTCGAATGCAAAATTGGAGAAGTAAATTGGATGTTTATAGGTTTCTCTCGATTCCAAGCGGTGGGAAGCAATATGAAGGGAAAAGGGGGTGAGTTGTGAGATACAAAACTGAGAGAGAGAGAGAGAGAGAGAGAGAGAGAGAGAGAGAGAGAGAGAGAGAGAGAGAGAGAGAGAGAGAGAGAGGACATTTAAAAGAGGTGGAAATTAGATAGTGTGAAATAATTGTTCTTCTGCTTTGATTAGTAGATATTCTTGGCCCTATTCTGTTGAGTTTTGATTTATTTTAGGAGATGACATTATATTTGACATATTTTTCAATTTCAATTTAAAATACTAAATCAATATTATCATTTGGAAGATTTTTCTTAATACTATTATTGCAATTTCTGATATTTAAGGGGTATTTGATAATGTCAATATTTTAGTGGTTTTTTATTTAAAGTTTATACTGAAAGATCGTATGTACCGACGGTTAGACCATAAAACTTCACATTATAGGCTAAATCGATAGGTGATATTAGCAATATGAAACGGTTGAACCACAGTTAAATTATGACTTCAGTATAAAATACTCTACTACCAACTTTTTCGATACGATTTTACAATCCTTTGGTTCAAACAATTTTTTTACACTGGTGGAAACAAAAGTTTTAAGGCACATTTTGAAATATCTATTGCGAAAAGCATAAGTCAGTTAGCGATAATGAGAATATGCGATTTCATGTAACCCAAAAGACACTTTGCAACTTCTATCTTCTTAAAATAAATGTATGCTACTCATACCCTCGCTCATTCATCAACTTAATGAGTAACATATATTTCAAGTAATGTTATTTTCGTACGTATTTATTTATTGAATTATTTCATGAAAAAAATATTTGTTGCATGAAAATTACTTGAATAAGTCCGTACACATCACATTTCCAACTAACTATTAGTGACAGCTTAGCATCATGTCCTATATATTTCAAATCAAGCAACTTCATATTCATTACCAACAGTGTGGTAAAAAATGAATGCTCTCTATTGGGAAAAACTTAAAGGACATAATAAACTCTATGAGACATATTCTATCATCCTAAAGGTTGATTATGTATGTATTATGAGAAGCAACTCTAATATTCAACTATATGGTTTAATTAAGTATTGAATGACAATTAGTTATATATATTTTTTCATTCAATAATTATATGTAATGCTTATATTATATATATTTTTCTCTTTTCATGGAGGTCTAAAGTCTAAACATATTATGCATAGTTCGATCACTTTCAAAAATGTTATGTGCATAACTAAGGTAGAAAATAATCATTTCATGCATTTCAAATCATCTATTATATCCATTATTATATATCATATTCCTCGACAAAATTCTTCCGGCCAACCGGCCTTGTCCTGTGCTAGTACATTATAGGGACAAAGTACTACAAGTTATTTATTTATGAAGAACAAAGTACTACAAGTTGAATCAACCAATTTACTCGGATCACATCAGAGCACATTTCAACTCATCAGAATTCAGAACCCGATGGCACGACGCCTCATCATCCTTCGTCGTCGTAGCAACTCTGGATTGTGGTGGAAGTAACCGAAGCCGTACATCCCAAGCACTGTCGTGACAAATCCAGCAGGAAATCCAATGCTCGCTGTCATCCACGAAAGCCATAACCCTTCATCGCGCTCTGGTCCTCCTCTAGGCGCTGCCTCCCGTGTCGGAGTTATCGCCACATCATTGCACGGTTTGAGAATCTGCATCCCGCACAATCTAGCGTCATTGTTAGCATAAGAATCTGGATTGTTCATCCTGTCCATTTGGGAACCGGTCGGGATCCGTCCGGAGAGATTGTTGTCGCTTAATTGCAGATTAGTGATTTGCAGCAATGTTCCCATAGATTCCGGAATGTCTCCAGATAAGTTGTTGTGAGATAAATCCAAGCTCTCCAATTCCTTAATGTTTCCGAAACTAGCTGGGATTGGACCGGATAGGCTGTGGTGGGACAGATTGAGCACTTTGAGACTTCTCAAGTTCCCCAAACTATTTGGGATTTCACCTGACAATTGATTGTTGGATAGATCAAGAAGAGTGTATAATCCCAAGTGATTGTTGGGAAGCCCCTCATTATGAGTCTTCCAGAAGACTTCAAACCATGGAGTTGGAATTGATGGCCCCGAGACCCAGGCGGAATCAATTGGTTTATTAATCTGAGCGAAACCCAAAATTGGTGAGTCAGGCGGAGCATGGATCATACCCCTCAAATTTCCTAAATGGTTGGGCACCCTGCCCCTTAATTTGTTGCCGGAGAGGTCCAAAATTTGAAGGCTTCTGAGATTAGAAAGATTCGATGGAATCGGCCCTCGAAGAAAGTTGTTTCCCACACTCAAAATTTGTAAAGATGAGATTTGAGCCAAACAAGCTGGAATTTCACCCGATATTCTATTCTCACGAAGATCAAGAAGTTGGAGCTCCTCTAAATATCGTGGCAAATAAATATTAGAGAAACGGTTGTGAGCGACCTCAAGGACGTTCAGTGAGTACGCTTTGCCAGAATATATGGATATATTTCCATGAAAGGTATTGAAGGAGAGATTAATATACTGTGGACAACTGTAAGAACGCTGGCAAAGAAAGACAAAAGCCTCACCTGAAAGTTGGTTTCTTGACAAGTCCAGATAAAACAAGTAACTCATATCCGAGATGTGAGTTCCAAGCGATCCTGTAAATATGTTATCTGAAAGAATCAACATGGAGTACCCACTTTGCTCGGTCTCGTTAGTTCCTCTGTTTAGAAATATTTCTCCCTCGAAATTGTTCTCTGATAAGTCGAGAGTTTGTATACCTCCATTGGACGCCAATTCAGGAGGCAGAGTACCTTGAAGCAAGTTATCCACCAAAACCAATTCATTTATCGGCTGTTCAGCCAGCCACCTGGGGAAGTTTCCTGTGATCCTCCGGTTGCTGCTCAAGTCGAGAACTGCGAGATCAGTTTGGTTCGCCAACCAGATAGGAATTCCATCAGAAGAAATGTTGCAGGATATCAAGGACAGCTGATAGAATGCAGATTTAGGGGCCATTTGGTTTGCATTTGTCAATGTAAGATTGTTTCTTCCCAAAAACAGCGATTCCATCGTGGAATATTCGAGCAACTTATTGGGTTTATTACTTTGGTAGACGGGAAAAGAAAAGTTGGATAGAGCTCCACTACGTACTCATACATATGGTCTTGAGTCTTGACTTGAGTCTTGTGAGTGAAGTCGCTCGCAAAGACTTCTAAGTCCTCCACCGAGTGGAGAAGCAAATTGTCTACAAGTCCAAACTACTCAACAAATATTTGCATTTAACTCCCTATACTTATTCTAGTTTGCAATTCTTGCCTAACAACTTGAGCACAATATTATTATTGAAGTAAATTTGGCAAAGAAAAACAAAAACAAACACCCATTGGCCATTTCCCATCAGCTACTCTCCTGGTCGATACGTAAGTGTCACAACGCACTTATTAGCAGATCCCCAGCAGATGAAGCCAATCAGCCGCCACGAAAATGGCACATTACCTTCCAAAAAAAAAACAACCATTTCTTTCTGAATAATCTCTCTCTGAAGGTCCGAACCAAATATGGGAACAAATGGAGAAGACAAAACTCAGTAACCCTAGTTGCCACGTGACGCTGCCCCCAAAACCCCTCCTCCTACGCTTTCCTTCTTTATCCTCTTAAACACACACAAGAGAGGAAGAGAGCATTTGGATCAAGCTTGCAACGCAAAATTTTCAGCGCAAATCCAAATCCAAACAGCAAGAGTCCGAACGACAAGGAACCCTAAACTGGACCACTACCCAGTTGTCCCCAAATGGTGTCTCTAAATTTTTCAATTGGGATGTGCTCTGTGCACTAACTTTCCTGACGCTGAACAAAGCGAACTCTACAGTTTGTCACTTGTATTTGTCTCGTTCCTTGCCTTTTAATCTCTGGATTAATTCTGTTTTTTTTAAAAAAAAAGTGTAGTTGTTTGATAATGATTTCATTTCTACAGTACGATAACAAGATTCTAGTTTCTAGATCGAGGTACTTGAGATGCAAGACTCGCTAGGAAAATGTTTCAGGATAGGATTTGATGGTGTGAGCACACTAAAACTCCAAATCTTGCTGCTTTTGGTCACGCACGAAATTTTACAAATAATGGCAACCGGCAAGTGTTTAGTTATATTTAAAAACGGTTGGAATATGATATAAATTTGTCTAATGGGACAAACAACTGCGTTATCAATGGATCCGAATCACCGTAAGACATTTCTCCGTGTGTCTAAACCAACTCTAAAAAAGTCCGTACTCTTATATAAGAAGCCTCAAGTCCTCCAAACCATATCTCCTCTTCATATGGTCTCCGTCTCTAAACCCTATTCTCTCTAAATTCACGTAATGAAAAACGGAATGAAAAGGAATGAAAAACCGAATGAAAAACTCGAAGATTAGTTTATAACACTTGGGACCTGTTATACGTAGGTTTTATGGGGTCGTTTGGATGAGGAATTGTAACAGATCAATTTGGCACAATTGTCTCGTTTTGAGACAATTGTACCAAATTGCCTTGTTTGCTAGCAAAAAAATTTGGATGGATCAATCTGCCTGAGGTATTTTGATTGGATTCGAGTCAATTTCAATTACCTGAGATGGGAGCAGGTAATTCAAATTGACTCATTTTAATTGTCTCGTTTATAAAACGAGACAATTGATCAAATTAACTCATTTTTAGATTGATCCATGGGGGTCGTTTGGATGGATCAATCTAAAAATGAGTCAATTTGATCAATTGTCTCGTTTTATAAACGAGACAATTAAAACGAGTCAATTCGAATTACCTGCCCCCACCCCAGGTAATTGAAATTGACTCAAAACGGATCAATTCTAAATACCTCAGACAGATTGATTCATCCAATTTTTTTGCTGGCAAACGAGGCAATTTGATACAATTGTCTCAAAGAATGGGTTGTTTGGATGAGGAATTGTAACCGATTAATTTGATACAATTGTCTAAAAAACGAGACAATTGTATCAAATTAATCGGTTACAATTCCTCATCCAAACAACCCATTCTTTGCTCATTTCACCACTCCTCCAAAAGGCGTGTGTTGTTTGTCCATTTTACCGAATCTTCGGCTTTTCCTTTTTTTAATAACAGGATAAAAGTAAATAATAATAAACAAATCAATAAACAAATTTATTTTCCTTTTTCTCAGCTTTTTCTCAGGGCAGCAGAAGTGGCATGTCGACGTGGCACTATCTTACAAAACAATTCATCCATCCACCCAAACCTCCTCAAAAAAATACACACACACAAAAAAAGAAAAACACCCTAAACAAACGGCGTTTCTGGTCAACTCACAGACCCGAAACGACGAAGACCGGAACGGAAATGGCCGGGAAACGGAAAACCCGTGTTCTTCAATCCTCTGCGGCAGGGTCTACTCTTGGTGATGGTGTTGCTGCCTCCCTCTCCTCGCCGTCCTTCCCGCAACCGCTTGCTCGTGAGAATCACACACCTGCGTCTTGAACTTACACCCGAACTTCTTGGTCAACGACGACCCTCCTCTCCATCCTGACCGTCCATTCTTCTCCCCTTCCACAGAATCATCATCTTTCCCGATCTTCTCAATCACCTTCTTCATGCTCGAGCACTCCCTCTCCAGCTGATGCACCCGCGTCCTCATGCTATCCATGTCCAGCCGCAGCACCTGATTCTCCCTCGCCGCTTCCCTCCACGTGGTCCCACCCTTCTCCCCCCTCCTTCCGTTTCCCAACGCCGCTCCCATTTCGCCTTCCTCCTCCTCTTCCACCTCATCCCGCCGCTGTACCGATGGTCTCCCCGGCTCCCCGCCCGCCGCCATCAGCGTCCCAGCGATCGCGTGCCGGAGCTGCAGCTGCTCGAAGAACAGAACCTGAACCACCGCCCGGAGCGGCAGCCGCTCGTTCTGCGCCGCGTGCGTGCACGCTTCCAGAGTCAGCTTCTGGCAGTCCATCACCCCGCAGATCTTCTCCCTCTCCGTCTCCGATATCCATGGATGCGACTGCAATTCATCGTCGTTTTTTCAGAGGATTGAAAGAAAAATTTTCAGTTTCACGCGAATTCGGTTTTAAATTTTAATTTACCTTGAGATAAACGTCGACGGCTCTGTAGAGGCCGTCGTCGAAGAGTCTGGCCTGGTCCGGCAGCGAGACGGCGAGCTTGTAGAATCGGTCGGGTTTGAGATTGGAATCGGAGGCGATCTCAGCGAGGTAACCGTCGATGAGCTTCCCGACCAGCATCAACGTCGGCGCTCTGGAGCTGTGTGCAAGATCGTCGGCGGCGGCGGTTATTATACCATCTCCTTCCTCTTCGATTCCGTCCAGGAAGTAGGATAAGATCCTCTCGACGCAATCGACGTCGTATAGAGTCTCGTTGAGATACGAATAGCTTGGGATCAGGAGATCGTCGAGCGTGGCTTGCTCCAGCTGCGAGCCGATCTTCTTCTCCAAAGCGGAGCGGCAAGACTGCGACGCGTTCAAGATGTTGGCGGTTCGCAGCAAGCCGATTAGGAATCGAGTCGCCGTCGAGGATCTGGAGTTTTTTTGAAGAGGTAGATTGGAAGCGATTGTTTCCAGCGCTTCTCTCTGCTCGCCTTCTGAGGCGATCGTTGTCATCGTCGCCGCCGCGGCTGGCGGATGTTTCCTGCTCTGCCTCGTGATCCCCGGAATGTGCTTTCTGGCGTAATGAATTAGACAGCTCTCGATGATCTCTGGATTCAGATCTCGCTCCTTCATCGCTGAAATCAACCGATTGAACAACGGCAAGGTGAGATGCGAGAGATCTTCCAGCCACGAATCCATGTTATAACCGGCGGCCGCCGCGGAGGAAGCGGATCGGCCTTTGCGGCGGACAGCGGATTCGATTCCGTTCCACAGGGCTTGATTAGAGGAATCCCTCTTGCTACTGTCACCGCCGTCGGTGGCGACGACCGGCCAGCCGAACAGGGCGGGATCGGCGGTGGAAGCTCTGGAGGCCAAGGATTCAATGCAGCGCTGCGGGATGCCTAGGGTTTCGGCGAGCGGCATCACCCGCTCGCAAGACTTGAGGGCTTTAATCGATTCCTTGAGGCTCTTGAGGACGTTCTGGGAGAGGAATTTCTCCGTCTTGGCTATCAAATTGGCCTCGGAGTAGTCCTCCGTCATCTCCAGGACCTCGGCGGCGCAGCGGAGCGGCGCGACGGTGGAGGCAGAGAGGTCGACCTTGACCCCGTAGCAGAACTTGGCGGCCATTTCGAAGGTCTCGGAGCCGCCCGGGAAATCCGGGAGCGAAATCTGGCATTCGACTTCCTCGATTTCGTCTCCTTCTCCGGCGCCGTCCTCGTCCGTGGAGGAGGTTTGGAGGGTAGCGGCGGCAGCGGCAGAGGCAGAGGTAGGGTTTGTCTCTTGCTCTGTTATCAGCTGATGCAGCTTTCGACTTTTCGACATCAAAGGGAACTGTGCACAACAGACAAAAGAAATCCTCCGTCAGTCTATTTTTTTTGCAGGGTTTTAAGGGATTGAGAGAGAGAGAGGGAAGGAAACAGACCTTGTGGAGATGAAAGCTCATATCATCAACCTCGACTGCAATGTCGCTGGGCAGCCCACTGGTGCAGAACCTGCAAACAGAAAGAGGAGGAAGAAGAGAGACCATAAAATCAGTTGAGGGATGATAAAGAAGAGGAAGAAGAATGGGTAGTTGAGTTTTTCAAGTTATAGTACCATGCTTGGCCCTTGGAGGTGGTGGGTTTTTCTTTGTCAGCCATTGCTGGACCAGAGAAGCTTTCTTCTGGATTCTGGGTAGTGGTGGAACTAGTAAGCTACCAGATGCATACAAGGAAGAAAGAGAGGGATGAAGAAGTGAAAAAGAAAAGGGGGAGGAAGGAAGGAAGGAAGGAAGAGGCTTTTGGAGGAGAGAATCCAAGCTAATAATTAGTGAGAAGGCCAGCTCAAATGAGGACAAGAGTGGAAGGAAGGCTGAAACTGAAAGCTGGTTGTCTCGCTTTCTCTCTCTAGATCGATCGGCATTCAAAAAGGGAGGTAAATTGCCATCATTTCCATTCCACTCTTGCGAAAATTTGTTTCCCTTTTGCTCTCTCCTTCTCTGAATCCAGAAGAGGATCTCAAACTCAGCTCTCTCTGTGGGTATGGAATAACTAATAAGGGAGAGGGAAGGGAAGGCTTTTATTACGCTCTCTGTTTTGTGCAAAGTTTCTGTTGTTTTCCTTTCCTTGTGAGTGCATAAAAGGAAACTGAGATGGGTTGGCTGCCAATTGCCCATTTCCTAATTGCAATACAGTACGTTTTGATTCTGCTTTTGGGCGCAAATTATGGGGGAATTCTTTTGGATTAGTTCTTCCTTAATTATTATTATTATGATTTATTTGGCACCTTTTGACTCCTTTTTTTCTCAGGGCTCGACTCAAAATTGGTCTCAGTCTCAGCAGAGCTCCAGATGGTGGTCTTATTACACTCTTTACTGTGTGCCCATGGGACTGGCTCACTGCATCGGGAAGCATGATGTTCTCCTTACTTTATTCACCTAAACCTAACATGCGAGTAGGTAATGATACTTAGTCTGATTAATCAATTATAATCATTCCGTGATAATTGGGTTTAATCTTTTTTACCTTTTTTCTCTTTTTACCTTTGCTGGTGGTGTACCACTGTGAACCAAAAAGAGTGGGGTAAAAGGAAGGAAGGGGGCATTTCCTTCTTCTTGGCTGGCTAAGCTTGGTTAGGTCAGGTCCACTGATTAGTTGGGTCACAACATCATGAATGATTGAGTAGTTGATAACAGTGAGGCTCCAACAGCAAATATACGTGTGTATTGTATTTGTTGCAAAGGAGAGGGAGACGTTGAGAGTGACCAAAAATAAAATAAGGTTATTAGAGAAATTTTTAGCATGGCTATTTTCTTAATTGTTTGCAAGCTCAGCTCCAGATTTGCTGATCGAGAAATTTGAATGGATCAAGAGGGAGAAAGTAAGTGGAGATGTGCGAAATCGAGATGTGTTGATTTTTGAGCAAAGTGTAGCGGGAAAATGGAAAGAATTAATTGCACGCAGCAACACACATTTTCATAGGCAGAAACACATTTATCAGGGGGAGTATTAGTATAAGGATTAATGTTGATTTTTTTTTGAGTTTTAGTCCCCTGAATCTTGATGGCTTCTCAAAAGAATACCTACAATTCGTATTTTCTTTGAAGTTGGGCTTTGCTTGTTCATCGGAGTTGGATAGCATATGTTGTTATATGTGTGTCTCCAGTTAAATCCTCCACATCTTAAGGCGCGATTTATTACATTCTATTGCTAACATTGTTCGTTACGCTTCTTGAGACATGCATTTGACAATAAACCTTGTCAAATTTGACCAAAGTACCGATATTGGGGGAAATCATTAAGTTTCGGGACGCTTTGAGAAGGCTATGAAAGTCCATGGTGGTCAAAGTTAGCATAAACTCTATCACCAAATGCCCACCAATGCAGTCAAAATCGCGCTTTAAAACTTAAAAACTTACGATTTTACGCTTTTGGGTCACCAAAACGCTTTCGTTTCCACATAAAAACTTAAGTGTATAAAATCGGACTAAATTGCGCTTTAAAACTTAAAAACTTACGGTTTTACGGTTCTAGTTCACCAAAATGCTTTATGTTTTTACGCTTTTAGTTCGCTACATGAGTATTCTTTTCATGAAATTAATTATAAAAAGTATATTTTTAAAGTAAATCACTAACAATATGATACATTTGAGATTAAAAGATACATACTAGGTACTTGGATGCATTCTACTTCAACAGAGTAATCTAATTCACCAACTAGGGTTTTCCCAAATTCATTAGCATAGAGGGAAAAGTGGCTTATCGTTAAAATTTATGTTTACGAACTTATTATTGAGAAGCTATAAGTTGCTCTACTTTAAATATGAATCACATGTATTTATTAACTTATCTAAATTCTGTGCATTCATATTTTGCATAGCATATGTCCTACTTAATAGATTTTTAGTTATTTTTCAGTATGCGTCAAAAACTTACGCTTTTACGCTTTCATTCTACGTTTTACGATTTTACCCATTTTCCGCTTCTAGGTAGAATCGCGCTTTTGACTGCATTGATGCCCACTAACTAATTGGGGGTAAGGTACATATCTCTCTTTAATCGTGTAAAATTTCTCGAATATTCATAATATGAATCATCGTTAGTATGAGTTTCGGTAAACATATTTTGGCCGTGAAAATTATGGAAGTTTTTCCTGTATAATTTACAACTTAAATAATTTGTTTTTCATTGTTTGTGGCTAGGTGACTTGGTCCCTTGTTAGCCCTTTGGAATGTCAGAAAATCAAACACTCTAGGGCGCTTGCTTGCTTGAATTCATAGGGCATTAAATGGGAGCATATCTACCATCCTTTACCTTCCCTTGCCATGCATTGATGGCAAAATTGAATGAGGTGACAGAAATTGCACGAGAGATCTACCAATGGTACCGCCCTTCAATTCCCCCTTGTCCCCCCACAACTTTCAAACCAAAACCACAACATGAATTCTTTTTCCTCTCCATTGATTTGTAGGTGACCTACATGTTTGAATGATTAGGGATGACAGGGTCTCGGATTAGTACCGGTCGTATTCATTATCTTCGTTTAACTAATTCGAATTTCGTTCGTACTTATACTCAAAACAATAATACGATGAAAATAGCTAAAATGCATTATATAAACTCATATTCTAAACAATAATAAACATAAAAAAAATACTAAACTACCTTTCAGTCACTAATTAATGGTTCATCATCAACCATACGACAAATCTTCATTTGCCCTTAACAACCCTGATTTTAGAATTTCCTTGAATAGTTGGAACTTCTAATTTCTAAACTCTTTTTTGTTGTCATGAGGAAAGGAGTTTTGATGGTGATGTAAGAAAGATAGGCAAATGGGGGACTAGGAGAAGAAGATGATGACGATGGGGAAAAAACGACAAGCAAAGCCATCCAATTTGGTTATCGTCTTAGCCATGGATGAAGCTTCCATATGCAATGGGATGATTTCTCTACTACGAGGTGAGGAAGGAAAAGTGGGAATGATTAAAGGGTGTGGACTTAATGGTTAGATAGACAATTGGGATCATTTCCTCTTCTTCACATTCACATTGTTGTTTTTGGTCGCTTATCATTATTACACCCAAGTGGACAACATTTGGAAGAGTGATAAGAGGGTTGTTGACTAACGAATATGTGAATAGGACATACATTGACCTTATGTCAAATATCATTCTTTTTGTACAAAAAAATTAAGGAGTTTGCTATCATGATTTGCTGTGAAACTTACTTGATTATTGGTTATGTAGAGCTTTATCAAGCATGTTAGATGATAACTCGATGGAGACATTGATGATGCCAGAAGGAGAAATTATAAACATAAGAATGGTGATTACTAAAAAGCATGAACATAAATAAACAATCAATGAGTTAGTAAACCTTAATAAATAAAATCTTATCCATATGGTAATCCTGAAACCTAATTCTAAACAAGATGCATCAACTCACTATATTGCGTTAACAAATGACTAATTCTAAGAGTCAGAGAGACCTAACCCTCAAATTTAGTGAAATTTATGCAAAACCAGCCAATCAAAGTTAAAAGTGTTGATTATATGAGCCAATACCGGACATACATTCCCTAAGACCTAGAGCTGGCAGAAAGAAGCTAGCATCTGACTTGATCGTCCCACTTCTGTGTCTAATCTGGTTTCACCTTACCTACTCATCTAACTGTTAGTAACATGTTATATATTTTTCTAGTATGATTTTGAACATAATTTTAGAATGAATTTGGATAAAGGTTAACCGTTTAGGTTGTAGGTTTCAAGCTTTAAGGATCAGAGTATATTTTAGGGTTTAGGATATCGAGGTTTGTGTTTAGTCTAGAGTTTAGGTAATGCGTCGCAGTATCGAGATTTACATTTATAAACTCAATCGTCGACAGTAATAACTACCCCAATCTATGACAAGCGCACCCTAGATCGACAAAGTAGTATAGTGGTGACCGAGGTCGTATTCCTAGGGTCCTCAAGATCTATTACTACTCTAGGCCTCGACCTTTTATCTAGTCAAACAGAATGGTTGATGGTTTAAGTGTGAACAATTCTAAATTACTAACAAAGAAAAAAAAACTAAGATAGAGGGAGATCACTACATAAGAGATAATGTCGGCTAGATTTCGAATTACCTTTGATGCTTGCTGAGGGTTTATTTTGTCAGTGAGCCAGCTAATTGAACCTTGCAAAATGAAGTATTAGATATGTCAAAATCTCGATCAATCAAAGAAAGCATAAATGCACGACACCAGATTTACGTGGTTTCCTTAACGATGATGATCATTGAGACTAGTCCACGACACAAGGCAGAGTTCTTGATTATTACTGTCGTACACGTTGCATGAGAAACTCGGCCATACAACCCTTATATACTAGGCCGAGTATTAAGCCTAAATAGGTTAATTACAATTAGGTACTCCTAACTTCTAACATCCTTCCTTAAATTGATGGTGCTGACGCAACATCAATTTGTGTGCTAGAAACCAATGACGTGACGAAGACACTGCTTTAGTCAACAAATCTAATGTTTGATCCTCTGACGTAATATATGCTAACTCCACAGAGCCCTCTGTCACCAGCTGTCGAATATAGTGAACGTGAACCTTTATGTGCTTGGTCCTATCATGTAAGACCGGATTTGTAGCAATACGAATAGCACTGGTGTTGTCAACAAACAACCGAACATGAGTATCAATCTTTACTCCTAGCTCGGCCAATAGTCGACACAACCATGTGATCTCAAAAGCAACCTCACTCATGGAACGGTATTCGGCCTCTGTGGACGACTTTGAAACACAATCATGCTTCTTACACCGCCATGAAATAAAGGAGTGACCCACTTTGACGCACCACCCAGAAGTCGAACGTCGTGTATCATGACAACCAGCATAGTCTGCATCAACATACGCATCCATCACAGCCTCACCACCTGAAGGAAACAGCAAACCGACCTCCTGACTGCCGTGGAGATAGCAAAGAATGCGTTGAACTGCAATCCAGTGAGTAGTACGTGGTGCAGACATAAATTGACTCACAACCTGTACAACATATGAATATCCGGGCGTGTGTGAGTCAAGTAGATCAAGCTGCCTACTATACTACGATATAGTGAGCCATTAGACAATAAATCACCATCCCCCTGTCGAAGCTTGAGATTTTTTTCCATGGGAGTATCACAAGGAGTACACTCATCCATCTGCGCCTCTTCGAGTAAATCAAGTACATACTTTCGCTGACCAACTTGCATACCAGCAGGAGAACGATGAATCTCAAGTCCCAAAAAGCAAGAAAGATCACCTAATTCCTTCAAATTAAATGCAGATCGCGGAGTCTGAGTTATATCTTGAATGCCTTCGACATCATCTCCGCTAATCACCATATCGTCAACATAGATCAAGAGAACTGTGAGACCGCGAGCAACATAGATCAAGAGAACTATGAGACATCATCTCCGCTAATCACCAACTCAGGACGTAAATTCATCAAAAATTGCATAATACGAGTGTTGGTGCACTCACGAATGACTTTCGTCGACACCGAACTAGGCAAGAGAGAGCTAGTCAAGTGATCATGCTCGGTCCAGAGAGTAACAACATTTTGATGGTACGTGCTTATATCAGAATCTCCTTGAGTCAAATGGCCAAGATCGCACTCAATGTCAAACTTCCGAGAGTAGTAGGCTTCGAGTAGAGAGTGTTGAGATGCTGCCAGATTTCCGCAGTTGTATTAAAACTCCGTAGACTTGGAGCAATACCCGGATCCATGGAGCCAAGAAAGCAAGACATAACCGCCACATTGAAAACAGCCCAATCGTCCCAAACCTTATCTGTAGCATCAACAGCCGACTCTTTTGCCGAGCCATAGAGAAAAGACAAGAGTCTGCGGCCTTGGACATGGAGCTTAAATTGAAAGGCCCATAGGGATAAGTTCTTACCAGTGAAGCGAATTGAAAAAGCATCCCCCTTGCTGATGTCCATAATGAAGCAAAGAGAAACACCCCAAAGACAACCACTGACTAGCCGACATAGAACACAGTAGGCGGAGCATAATCCCCAGCCAAAGCGCACAAAAATCCCAGCGCAGCACAGACCCGCAGCCGTACAAGAACAGCAGGCGGAGCAGAATCCCCAGCCAAAGCGCACAAAAATCCCAGCGCAGCACAGACCCGCAGCGGTACAAGAAATCAATAAATCCCAGCGCCGCAGCAATACACACGATCCACAAGAGAAATAGCACACACGCAGTCAAAAGCAAGAGCAAGAGAGCCAATCACCCGAGAACAAAGAGGGCTGGGGCACGAAATCACAATAGCAAAGACGAGAGTACGAGGACACGACCTGAAGCTGACGAAAGAACCCGATCACGAAGAATGCTCAAAGATAAGTAGGAGGAGGCTCTGATACCATGTGAAAATCTCAAACAATCAAAGAAAGCATAAACACACGAGTATTCTAGTTGCCACCCTAACGTATTCTCATAGAACTCGCCAAGGTTCTTTCATTTCAACTCACCTCTTTCATATTCTTTTTTTTTTTGGGTAAAAAGATGGGATGCTAAACCTCTCTCATATTCTATTGTCCAAACAAAACCGATAATTCTAAGGAATTAATAACAAGAATGCAACCTCTTGGTTTAAACAATGATTTTCTGTTGCATTATTAAGCGCTGATGCAACAGAACATTAGGAGTAGGGAAGAGTGGTTTATGAAATAATTATCCAATAACATTTCTTTTGAGGATAAGGTTTTCAGTGTTCAGACAAAGCATACGACAGTTTTAGTCACCAAACATTTGGTCCCATTCGATCTTTTTATTGTTTAACAACAATGCGCTTCTTTAGGTTGGGATTAAAAAATAATATTGTTAGTTGCAGGTTAAAAAATAAGATTGTTAGTCCCCACAAGTAGCAGAATTTGAAGTTCTTTCTTTGCTGGGCACGAAATTTTAGCTCTTGGTAAAAATGATAACATGTATAATTGAAAATTTAAGTTTTTCTTTGTTCCTAAAAATGATTCAAGAAAAAACTCAATCGCTCAACATATCTAACGAAAGTTGTTCTAGAAACAAAGATTCACTCATTTCAGGCGAAGATACAATATTTGAAACATCACCATTTTTCCTTAATCACTCTCAAGTTCGAGCCAATTGTTTCAGAGCAATCTTTTGACAGACTTCAACTATGGTAAGTGCAGGGCTGTTAATCGGTCTCCGGTTTGTCGGTTACCACCGAAACCGAACCGAAACCGTCGGTTTTCTGACCAACCGAAAACCGTCGGTTGCTTGCGGTTGTCGGTTGCGGTTGGCTAACATCAGCCGTTGGGCAATTCGAGCGGTTAGCGGTTAAAACCGAAACCGTGCAAAGTAACCGCAAAAAACCGACCACACTTACCTGTCCTCAATACAGCGTCGTTTGGCCACCTCTCCTCCCTGACCTAATGGCGAAATCGGGGAAGGCCTCTCCTCCCTGACCTAAAATTCGTTCCCCAGTCTCCACTCTCCTCACCCGCCGCTCGTCCTCCCCATTTCGTTCCCCAGTAATCCGACCGGCGACCCTAGTCCCTACCCTCGCCGCCGCCCGCCAGTCGCCTCGTCCGGTCGTCCCCGTCGAGCTCGTCGGCCGTCGGCCGTCGCAGCGGCAGCGCCGTCCTCACTCCTCCCGCTCCCAACCTTCGCGTCGTCTGCCCTGTTCTCCCGCCGAACAGAAGTCGTCGTCGCCGACGCTGCCGTCTTCTGCCCCGGAATCCCGCCGTCGTCTGCCCTGTTCTCCCGCCGTCTTCTGCCCTGTTCAATCACCGATTCACCATCACCAATGTAAGTCTCCAACAGCCCCAAGAACGGAACAAAGTCGAAATCAGATGCAAGCCAGTAGATG